AGTAGTTATTATGAGTTAATCACTAATTAATCCTGCTGTTTGTCAATTCTACTGTGTAATACCTTATCCTTAACAAAAGGACCATGACATTTAGCAGAGCTAAAGATTTGAGCAAACAAAATTACTCTTCAGATTTCCTACTTTATATATTCCAGTTAAATAACTTGAAAAACTTGAGATGTTGAAACTATTCATCCAAATTATTTTAATCATGATTTTAATTAAAGCATTGTAGTTTTAAAAAAGAGGTCTGATTTGGATTATTTATATTTGTACTCAAAATGATGGTACAATTGGTGCTGCTACTTTCTCAAATAGTTTGCCATGGTGATGTACTCGGATATTATGTCCGTGATCCACAACCTCCAGTTCATAAGTATTATGAGCTTGGAGATCTCATCATTGGTGCTGTTGTTTCTCTAACTTTTATTGTTTCTGATCCTCTGACTTTTGATGTAGAACCTCCACCAGTGGTTTACCAGGATCTTAGGTATGAAATTATCCTCCGTCCCCATTAAATCTACAGTTTAAGATGGATATTTTCAGTAGTCTGCTGCATGCTTACTAGGAAGTAAGTTGCTACAATATATCAAATATTGATTTGCAGTAAATTAGCTGCTTGATTTTAAATACCTTTAAATGTTTGGGTTTTTAGCAATTCTTTTGTCACCCTGCTCCCCGCTCTCTTATGTCCTGACCTGCTGTATTTTCATTGCCATCAAATGAGAGGTGTATCTGTCTTTGGGATAATTAGCTTCATTGCTTACTCCACCAAACACTATAGATTTCCATTGTACATGATCAGAAGTAGAGATCTTTCCATGTCATCCAGTCATTTTGGAATCGTAAAGAGTTGCTTCCAAGATCTCTTGTAGAAAAAAACATAAATTGGCAGTACTTTTGGTCTCTCCCTATCTATAACTTTTCCTGCCCTTCCATTCAATTGTGTCCAATCTTCAGAAATTGCCTGGACATGTCCCTACAGTTTTCTTGGTAATTTTTTTTCAGAAATGGTTTGCCATTGCCTCCTTTTTGGGGATGAAAGGGTGTAATCCAAGGTCATCCAGTTGGCTTTGTACCCAAGGCAGGACTAGAATTCACAGACTAGAATTCATAGTCATTGTTTCTAGCCTGGTTAATCACTATAACATCCAGTACTTACATGTTCTGGTTTTTCCATTTTTGAATAATACAGATCAGCACTTAAACCTGCTGGGAAATATGACTTTGTTTGAAATGAACATGGGTCTTTAGAACGTTCCTTTTTAAAAAAGTAACATGTAACACAAACAGTAACACTGTTTGGTCAAAATCTGATAAGGAAACCATTTGGACCCCTCCTTTGCATTTCTATTGAATGAACCTTGTATTTGTGGGCCAAATATCTTGGCTTGATATGATTACTACATGGGTATGTGATTCTCAATATGCATTTGAATTGGATAATTAAATAATTTTTATAAATAACCATCTAGAAAAAAGACAGTGATAAGGAAGTTCTCTACTTATAAACTTAATAACTTACATTGATAAAGTTTATCTTTTATCTTTATGTAACTGCCAGAGTAAGGTTTGTTTCAATAATAATAACAACATAAATTTAATGTGAAATATTTAGAAATAAGTGGGCTATAAACTATCCTGCTGATTTATAATGCAACTCTTATTCTAGCATCCTGACTAAGCATTATCAGCACATTTTGGCTTTGGCATTTGCGGTAAAGGAAATAAATAAAAATTCCCAGTTGCTACCTAATTTTTCCTTGGGTTTCCACATCTATGACAGCTATTTCAATGCAAAGAGAACATATCGTGCCACAATACAGCTGATGTCTACATCAGATAGATTCATGCCCAATTATAAATGTGGTATCCAAAATAACTTAATAGCAGTCATTGGAGGACTTGATGCCCAAACCTCCCTTCATATGGCAAATATTTTGGATACCTATAAAATTCCGCAGGTAAGATAATGGCTTTTCTCTTAGACTGTAACTTTGGAATTAGGCTTCATTTTTGTTGTTATTTTATTTTATTTATATTAAGATTGTTTTTTCCTAGAATAAAAGGCAAATCAAATGAAAGGAAGGAAGGAAGGAAGGAAGAAAATTGCAATCTTATTGTCCCTCATCACTCTTAGACATTTCATTCTTATCTTTCATATTGGATTTTTCTATTCAAGAGACTGAAATAAGTGGATCAGGTCCTGGCAGGTCTTAAATTTTGTGTAGACGAGACACACATGAAAAAGAAGGATTGTGTATTCATATATTTATAAATAAACATTTTAAAATAAAATTACTTAACAAACTATTCTAGCCTGAAAAACATTGGCTGGAGGAAATTAGTATCAGAGAGAAAGTATTTAATCCTCTGGAAATCCACATATCCTACTCAATTACTAGAAGAATGATAAAATCTCTTCCAGATGAAGCTCAATTCCTGGTGACCTTATAAATTTACCTGTGTAATTTTCATGGAAATTCAAATATAGAAATGGTTTGCTTTGCTTCTCTCTAATTGCTGCTCATTTCTCAGTTCCAGGATACAACCCTGGGAATTCTGAGAGCTTTCACTACTGTATTAACCCAATTGATCTTTGCTTATGTTTTAGAGAATCCATTGACTAGGTGATCCACCTACCTGGGCATTAGAGCTAATATACTATTGCAAATTTAGATATGGTGAGCTAACTAAGATTTTATTGTGCCAAATTTCTATAGGAATCCTTCCAGGAGAAAAATGAGAAATTAACAAGAAAGAAATATGAATCATGTATTCTTCTGAAAATGTTTCAATAAAGGCAATGAAACAATATATTAGGCTCATTTATCTTCATTTTCTTTAGAATCAACAGAAAGAGAAACATATTTACCATCTTCCTTCCTATAAATATTAATTTTAAGGAATTGTATGACTCAATGTGTAATCACAAGATCTTAAAATCTAGAGGTCATGGTCCGGCAGACAATTTAATACTCATCTATCGTTTCTTCATAGAGAAGTAACATTTTCAGCAAGGCATACTGTACAGATTCAATGGGGAACAATTGCTAGTTGGGAGAATATTGACAGTTGGTTGCACTTACTAAATTTCATTTTTTTCCCATGCCTTGATCCAAGGTATTACATTTTTCTTCCTCAACAATGCTTCAAAAGACTCTTTCCTCTTAGAATCACTTGCAACCTGGAAATTATCCATTAAACATTATTTTTCTTGCCAGATATAAAGGTTTCCATAATCAGTTTGATGGTGATTCAGGCTGACGTTAAGATATGGGAGCTCTTTGATTGGATAAATGGGCTCAAGAAAATTTACTCATGTTTTTAGACTAGGATGAAAAATAACAGAATACAGAGTTGGAACAGACTTTGGAGGTCTTCTAGTCCCAGCCGCTGCTCAAGTAGAAGACTAATACTATTTCAGATAAGTGGTTATATAATCTCTTCTTAAAAATCTCCAGTGATTGAGCACCCACAATTTCTAAAGGCAACCTGTTCCACTGATTAATTGTGGAAAATGTCTCCTTATTTTCTGCAGAAAATTATCATTATTCACAATGAAATTTCTCCTTATTTCTAGGTTGGTTCTCTCCTTGATTAGTTTGCATTCATTGCTTCTTGTTCTGCCTTAAGGTGCTTTGGAAAAGAGGTTGACCCCCACTTCTTTATGGCATCCTTTAGATACTGGAACATTGCTAGCCTGTCAGAAAATTTCACAAGATGTTAGAGTGAGGTGGGAGGTTATGATGGGATTGAAGAGGCACAAAGAATAAAGTTGACAGAGTGAATTCAACAGCATATTAAAGCAATGCACTGCAAAACAGTCCTTCCAATTTCCTTTCTTATATGTGAAATCAAAATTCTCAGAATTGTATTTAGAAATGTTGGAGACAGTTAAGCCCCCAAAACTTCAGGTTAATATCAGATTGGAACTGACTACTATCATACACAAGTATATATGCATTTTGGGTTTGTGCATGCACATGTCAAGCAGTATGCCAGGGATGTAATCAAGTAGAGTGAATTATTTCATATTATTTTCGTTCTGTTTCATTTAAGTATATTTAGATAGGAGTGCAACTAATGTTTTGCAGAATGTTCTTTTACATATAATCTTTCTGAATATATATCATAACTTATTTCCTGAAGCTACAATACCAATATATAATATTTGCTCCTGTTTTAATGGAATCTACAGAATAAAGACCAAAACAATTATTTCCTTAATTTTTATAATGCTTACACAGGTTATGGGTTTAAATCTTAGCTTCTGTCCACTGCTGTCTGGGAGGAGGCATTATTTGGTGAAATAAATGTCTGCCATAAGAATATGTCTCAAATAATTTAATTTTTTTGCTTCTTTTACCATTAAGTAAATTGATCGAAGAGACAGTTTGGTGTTGTGATTAAGGATTCAGCTAGAAACTGGGAGACTGTGAATTCTAGTCCTGCCTTAGGCACAAAGCCAACTGGGTAACCTTGGGATAGTCATTTTCTCTCAGCCTAGGAAGGAGGAGATGGCAAACTACTTCTAAAAAACCTGCCAAGAAAATTGCAGGGTGTTGTCCAGTCAGTCTCTAAGAATCAGACACGATAAAAACAGAAGAAAAAAAATGGAAGACTCACTTCTAATCTCATAATCATTGCAAGTGTACATGGAATAAAGCTAGAATTGATGTATGATTCTGAGTGAGATGGTCATAGATTTTTTAAAAACATATCAGTATCTGGGATAATACTGGATCAAATTAATAGTGCCAATGTTGACAAGAAGTGATCTGAACTGTATTTTAAAATTGCCTGAACCTCAGAAGATACTGAGTACATAGTATTCCTGTAAATATGTATAAAGTGTAGTAGATTTGAAAGTATAGCAATCCAGAATTTGCTATGGAAATGCCATTAGTAATCTGTTTCCTTTAACGAATTATATTCAGATCATTTACGGAGCAGCTCCAGTGATAAATCACAAAACTCCAGGTCTGTCTTTCTACCAAATGGCCCCTAATGATGATCTTCAGCATGTTGGAATCCTCTCTCTGCTTCTCTATTTTTCATGGACATGGATTGGGATCCTAACTATGGATGATGACAGAGGAGAAAGATTTGTGCATGATATTCTTCCATCATTTTCCAATCGAGGCATCTGTTTTGCCTTCATAGAAATGTTCCCTAGAATAGATTACTCTGCTGGACATGAAAATATGTTAAATGAAGAAGCAAAAATGTATGAAGTTATCACAGCCAGCAATGCCAATATAGTGGTGTTCTATGGAGTATCTTATTCTGTTTTGTTTTTGATATGGTTTCCCCACATTTCTGAATTTGGAGTGCAAACATCATATATCAATCAATTAAAAGGTAAAGTATGGGTAATGACTACTCAAATGGAGCTCAGTGTTTTGAACTATCAAAGGACCTGGAGTTTAAACTTGTTACATGGTACTCTGTCCTTTACAATTCACACCAAAGAACTTCCTGGGTTTCAAGATTTCATTCAGAGTCAGAAGCCATTAAGTAACCAAGAGGATGGCTTTATGATGGACTTCTGGCAACATGTCTTTAATTGTGCATTTCCAAATAGAATTCAGGATAAAGTTGTAGGACTCATTTGCACAGGCAAGGAAAAGCTGCAGAACGTTCCTGGCCCTTTTTTTGAAATGAATACAATTGGCCATAGCTACAGTATATACAATGCTGTCTATAGCCTGGCTTATGCCTTACATGCCATGACTGCATCGAGGCTCAGTCAAAAAGCAAGAATGGATCAATCCAAACTGATGCACTCTTTGCAGGTAAAAAGCTGTATGGGAACCTGGTAGAACTTTTATCCCTACCTTCTCCATCTGTTCTCCATAAATTTGCAGGTACATTGTACATGAACTTGAATTTTAGAGAAAGTTCATGCTTAACAGTAATATTTTATGCCTATCATGATATGGAATAAAATAAAATAAAATGTTGGAAAATTCACCAGTATAAGTGCAGTGCTGTGGTAGTGCCTTCCTTTGAATACAAGAAATTTTATATTACAAATGTAGTGAAGAGCAAAAACATTAACCCTGTTTGGGTAAACTTAACACTTGACCAAGATGTAAAGGATTTTCTTTCTTTCTTTCTTTCTTTCTTTCTTTCTTTCTTTCTTTCTTTCTTTCTTTCTTTCTTTCTTTCTTTCTTTCAAAAAATCTATCTAATCTGTGAGCAGAGAAACTGACTGGTCAATATTTGCAAATCTCTGTAAAGCAATGATAAATTATTCAATAGGATTTTTCCCGATTAAGCAACACAAATGAAGAAGCCTGGTAGGAAGTGTTCCCCTCATTATGGCTTCCCTTAAATTAGAAGGAAGAGGAAAGACAGGAAAAGGAAGGAAAACCCCTTGACTTAAATTGAATTTTCCTTTTCAAACCAGCTTCATCACTTTCTCAGCAGTGTCTCATTTAACAACAGTGCTGGAGACTATATCTCCTTTGATGAGAATAGGAGGTTATTGGTTGGAATGGACATAATCAACTGGATTATTTCCTCAAATCTATCTCTTCATAGAAAGAAAATTGGAAGAATGGCTCTAGGAGAAGCATTGACCATCAGTAAAGATGCCATAGTATGGCACAGCTGGTTTAACCAAGTAAGTTTCACCGTCCTTCAGTTTAATGATGAATTCTAATAACATTTGATTGACAATAATTGAAAAAGTAATATAAATACACTGGTATAACAAATGAAGGTCTACTGAAACAATATCTGAACATTTCTTTAAATTGACTGAAAATGTGTTGATGGAAATGTAGAGCAGAATATACATTGATTTATTTTTGAGAACAAAGTCTTTTCCTCCAATTTTCAACCAAGCTGCGAAGAATAATAGGAACAATCTTTCCTGCTCAAAAAGTAACATACACATTAAGAAATTTTTAGTATGTAGAAATTTTTGATAATGATATCATTTTATCATTTATCCAAATATTTGGTAGATTTTTTTAAAAAAAAATGAAAGTGCAAATTCTGATCAGAAAAGAACATGGTCTGACAGACTTTAAATTATTAAATATTTGATCTATTAGATATCTTGTCCATTGAATAAAATACATGTAACAGACCAACAAATCTAATAAACAAAAATATATTGAAAGTCAGTGAAAAATCTTTTCAAACATTAAAATGCTTTTAAATTCATGTAATTATTCATCTTTATGCAGCAATCAGATGATCAGCAGTAGATCCCACCTACAGGATTTTGTATTTTGTAAAAGAAAAGTGAACTCTTACAATCTTATTGTTCTGCAACTCTAATAACAAAGGGAGAAGAATAAAAATCAATTGTTTTGAATCTATGATTATTCTCAAATTTATTCTCTTCTTACATTTCTAATTAGGTCCAGCCAATCTCGATATGTACCAAAAATTGCCAACCTGGTACTAGCAAGAAAGTGAAGGAAGGGAAGCCATTTTGTTGCTATGACTGCATTCTATGTCCAGATGGAAAGATTTCAGAGAAGGAAGGTAAAAATTAGATAAATGAACTTTTATGCACAGAAAATTATATCTAGAACATGTTAGATGTGGACCTGTATAAATATGTTTTAAATTCCTATTCAATCATAGAGGTTATGAAGTGATTTTAAATTACAGGTAGTTTTTGACTTATGACCCCTATTGAGCCCAGAATTTTCTGTTGTTAAACAAGATTTATTTATTTTATTAAATTTCTATACCACCCTTCTCCCGAAGGACTCAGGGCGGTGTACAGCCAGAAATAAAACCATGACAATATAAAAATTAAAAGCAATTTAAAACAATTAAATAAATTGGCCAAAAACTCTAATAAAACAACCCATTAAAATAGTAAAATATTATTATTATTTAGGCCAGCCCTGCTTGTTGGAATAATAATGTTTTTAGGGCGCGATGAAAGGTACGCAGGTCGGGAAACCTACGAATCTCCGGGGGCAGCTCATTCCAGAGGGTAGGGGCCCCCACAGAGAATGCTCTCCCCCTGGGGGTCATCAGCTGACATTGCCTAGCCGATGGCACCCAGAGGAGCCCCTCTCTGTGGGAGTGTACCGGTCGATGGGAGGCTATCAGTGGCAGAAGGTGGTCTCGTAGATACCCAGGTCCCATGCCATGGAGCACTTTTTTAAGTGAGATATTTGTTAAGTGAGTTTTGTCCCATTTTATGACTTTCTTTGCCACATTTGTTAAGTGAATCACTGCAGTTGTTAAATTAATAACATGATTGTAAAGTGAGTCTGGCTTCCCCACTGACTTATCTTGTCAGAAGGTTGTAAAAGTTGATCATGTGTGATATGTACACATCAGAGATGGGTTTCAGCAGGTTCTGACCAGTTCTGGAGAACCGGTAGCAGAAATTTTGAGTAGTTCGGAGAACCGATAGTAAAAATTCTGACCAGCCCTGCCCCCATCTAAGTAACCTTCCCCTGGATTGGGGAGGGAATGAAAATTTTGCAGTATCCTTCCCCTGGAGTGGGATAGGAATGGAGATTTTACAGTATCTTTCCCCTGCCATGCCCACCAAGCCATACCCACCAAGCCACACCCACAGAACCGGTAGTAAAAAAATTTGAAACTCACCACTGATACACATGTAGGATAAGGATTGCAGTGTATGGGGATACTGCAACCATCATAAATATGAGTCACTTGCCAAGTGTCTGAATTTTAATCACATGACCGTCAGCATGCTGTAATGGTCATAAGTGTGAAAAATGTCATGTCACTTTTCAGTGCCATTGTAAATTTGAAAGGTCACTAAATGAACTGTAGTCTCTCCCAAATATCACATCGATTGGGCCTCCATTGTTATGGAGGTAAAATGAGAGATGTACTGTATATTACATTTAGCTGTTAAAGGAAAGATAGGATTTAAATAAAACGATAAATCAGTAATTTTCTGCTTTTGTCATAGCTAAAAATTCAGAGAAAAGTGTTGAATAGAAAGAGGATGCTTAGGAAAGGATAAATGATGCATACGTTTAGGTTAATGTTCTCCTTTGAAATGATAGAGAAGAAAAAAAATATGGGAGGGAATGGGAAAAAAGATACCTCTACGGATTTTAGGGCATCATCATCATCATCATCATCATCATTATCATCATCATCATCATCATCATCATTTTTATTGTCATGATCATCATGAGAAGAAGATTCAGGTAGCAGATTTTTCAGTATTAATAATTGAATGGTTCTGTAATTATAATTAATAACAGCAAGAGTCAATTATCACTTTCTGAAATAAAGAAGTGTAATAAAATTATATTTCTAGGATCCCCTTGAAAAAAATTGAAAATGACCCACTTGGATTGCTGATTCAGGCAAAGAGTAGTTCCAAGAAACTATGTTTGTGGCATCATTAGGTACATAGATTTGATACAGGAATTGAAACTATGTATTTTTCTTTTTCAGACATGAGAGATTGTTATAACTGCAGAAATGAATTCTATCCAAATAAAAACAAAAATTTCTGTCTGCCTAGATATGTAAGTTTCTTATCTTATGGAGAACCTCTTGGGATTAGTTTGTCCCTCTCTGCCCTTTTCTTTTCTTTGATTACAGCTCTGGTGCTGGGAATATTCCTAAAGCATCACAACAGTCCAATTGTTGTGGCCAATAATCGAAACCTCACTTATACACTTCTGGTGTCCCTCCTGCTCTGCTTCCTCTGTATGTTCTTGTTCCTTGGCCGTCCTGAGCAGGTGACCTGTCTTATCCGACAGACTGCTTTTGGCATCATCTTCTCAGTGGTAGTTTCTTGTGTGCTGGCAAAAACTATCACAGTAGTTTTGGCGTTCTTAGCCACCAAACCTGGATCCAAGATGAGAAGATGGGTGGGTTCCAGACTGGCCAACTCAGTACTTTTTTCCTGTTCCCTGATTCAGGCATGCATTTGCATTTCTTGGATGTGGACCTCTCCACCTTTTGTAGAGACTGATACTCATTCAGTGAGTGAACAAATCATACTGCAGTGCAATGAGGGGTCGGTGATTATGTTTTATTGTGTCCTGGGTTACTTGGGCTTTCTGGCTATTATCAGCTTCTCTGTGGCTTTTCTGGCCAGGAAATTACCTGACACTTTCAATGAAGCCAAATTCATCACATTCAGTATGTTGGTGTTTTGCAGTGTGTGGTTGTCTTTTGTTCCAACCTATTTGAGCACCAAAGGAAAGTACATGGTTGCTGTGGAAATCTTCTCCATCTTTGCTTCCAGTGCTGGTTTGCTGGGATTTATTTTTTTCCCCAAAAGTTATATTATTCTCTTGAGGCCAGAGCTAAATAAGAGAGAACAATTGATCAGAAGGAAGGGCTGAAGACTAAAGGCCTATTTTGCTGTTATATAGAACCTAGAGATGACACGTGTTCAGTCCATCCTCTATAATGAAGTTAGGCAAATAACTCCTTCAATGACTCCATAAATGAAGTATTCTTTAAATTCTTTAAATTTTGAAACAGTTTATATGAGACTACTTTTCAATGTATTGGTATGGGAATTATATTAGTTATCCAGTTACTGACAAATTGAATTTACAATAAAAAAATATGTGGCAAATATGTGGTTTATCTTTTGTGTTTTTTATAAAATACTTACATGATTCATAACTATTTATTGAAAAAATATTTCTTCACATTGTTTTTTCTTTTAGGTCAAAAAATCCCATTCCTGCATTTAACTGCAATCTATCTTTTAAGAAAACTATATTAGAAAACCAGATTGAAATATTTATCTTTAAACATTTAGGTAATCATATTACATAGGATATCTGTGTTAGTCTTTTGAAGAACAACAATGCAAAGCCTTGTGGCAGGTTAATGAATTTACTATACTATTAATCTTTGTTGATCTGATGTAAGGAACACCAAGTAACAGACGCAGGTGCTGTGTATGCAGAAACTCTGCTACAAGATAGCACATATGGTATCAGAACTAATCTCAGTCAGGACACATTTGTGCCATGTTGGACCTCTGTCTAACCCTACCTATCTTAAATACAATGAAGATTTCTACAGAAAAAAATACGGCTGAGTTTTGGGTTTATGTATATTCCCCATTATGTCAAATTTGCACATGGAAGAGATGGAAACCATAGCCCTAAATTCCTTCATAGGAACTCCATCCACTTACTGGTATAAAGGTAAAATGTGGTTGATACTTGGGTTAAGATTAAACCACAGGAAGTTGAAGCCTTCACCAAACACATCAAGTCTGTGGCAGATACAATAAGTTCAGATACATTGGATATTAGCAAAAATACATGAGAATCTCTAAAGGTTTTTGAACAAAGTAAGATTTAGTATAATAAATGAGTTCTGATTTAGTACTTTGGCTTTGCAGTGACAACAATGCAATCTACCCCAATTAATAAAGCACATGGACACCATCATTTTAAGTCTTTGTTTTGACTGTGTACTTTGCTCAGTGAAGGAAAATGCTTGTCTAAAAAGTAGGTTGTCCTAGTTCTAAACTTTCCCATAGATAATATGTGCATCATCCAGCTACTTTAGTTACTTAAGAACTTCTGCCCTGAAAATTTGCCTTTTTTCTATGTGCCTTTATACTTTAATTTGGTTCCAAGAAGGAAATAAAAAGCATTCTTTGGAATAATGAATTTTATTAGAAATAATGTATTTCTAAAAACATTTTTATTTTTATTTACAGAACAGCATGAATACAATAAATTTTCAAGGGAAATGTAACACACTTAGTTCTTAGCAATGCTACAGAGGATTCACCAATTTTAGCTAACTATCAAACAACTATAATTATTTATATTGCTTTCCTATTTCCCTCTTGTTTTTATTAAAAAAGCCTGTTGCAAGTACAGTCATGTATTCCTATGTAATTGTATCTTTGTGTGTGTGTGTGTGTGTGTGTGTGTGTGTGTGTGTGTGCACGTGCATATATTGTATGTATATAAAATCAGGACTAAATTACAGATTTTAGCCAGATTGTTTCAAGCATATACTCTTTATGATTTTGTCATTATATTTCAATTTTCATGTATATCTAGCTATTGCTATCACAGATGTAGCCGTAGATGCATTGGTGCTTTAGTTTAGAAGGTCAGTTTGTACTTAACATGTTGATAGTAGCAGCATTGCTCTTTCTGTTGCTGCCCCATATGACAGGACAGACACATATAAAGTGCCGAATTGTAGATCACCACTACATTTTTCACAAGTACCTTCAGCCAGGGGATCTACTCTTTGGTGGCCTTGTTTCTCACACTTTCTTTGCCTCCAGACCATATCCTTTTGATCAACCACCATCTCCCAGAAACTTTGAAAAATATCTGTAAGGAATTGAGCTTCACTTCTGTATGCTTCTGTGCAGATCATATGTAGCAGACCAAATTTATGACTGTGATTGTTTGCAGTAAAGTCATGAAGTAAATTGTTTTGAGAAATAAAGGACAGATTGGAAATCTATTTTTGCTCTACTTCTCCAAGGACATATTAATTACATACTAGTATTTAAAATAATTTTAATGAAACCAAAAAACTATCAACTTAACTATGATGCTTATATTTAGCTAAATAAGTACATAAAAAGCAATAATTATACATTTAACTCTCAACTAGCAAATACATTTTCATTCATTTAGGCTAATATTTTCTTAATTCAAGTTTTTCTTCATTAAAAATTGCATTTACAATGTTTAACTTTATAACAGGAAATGTATTCTTATTCATTCATAGTGTTTCTTTTAATTCTTGCTTGAAATTACAACTCTTCTTCATTGCAGATCACCATATTTCTTCCAAAAAAAAATAATTCTAAATTTGTTCCTCTAGAGGAATCAAAACTATATAATGATTTTAAGTCTATCAGATAATTTCTGTACATAAAATATATACAGACATAAAATGTAGATGTAAACTATATTGTAAATCAACTCCAGAGACTTTACATAGATTTTATTTAATTTTGTTTGACACTGTATAAAAGGGTGTACCTCTGCCTTTCTCTAATCTGTAGATTATCTTTTGGGGTGATTGGTCAAGTTTTTGTACCAAGTATGCCTCTTAAACTATAGTGTATTTTTTTCAATGAATTAGTCTGACACATAATGGAAATCCCACTGTAGGGTCATGACTCAGAACTACCAGCATATCTTGGCCTTGGTCTTTGCAATAAGGGAAATCAATGAAGATCCTCAGCTCTTACTCAACTTCACTCTCGGATTTCATATCTATGATACACTTATGAATACCAGGTGGGCCTTTTGTTCTGCAATGCAACTTATTTCTCCAAAAGAGCAATTTCTTCCCAATTACCATTGTGATAGTAAAGACAATCTTCTTGCAATTATTGAAGGACTTGATATTGAATCTTCCTATCAAATACCAAATATTTTTAGCATCTATAAAATTCCTCAGGTAAGTTATATCGATTATAAGCATTTAGTAGTAATCCAATTATCATTTCTTCTCATCAGTTATTAGAGTGCTGCCTACACAGATATTGATTTATTTCCAGTAATCATATTAAGCTTATTGGTATGGCAACATCTGTCAGCCAAGAGAGTTCTAGCATTAAAAATCTTTCCTTGCACAAAATTTAAATAATAGCTGATAACCATCAAATACCTATCAAAACCTTCACACTATCTGGGAAGGATGAATTATTGCTATGTTTTGTTCAGGAAAGGATGTCACACCATTAAGTCAATCAGAACAGAGGTGGAAGGGACCTTAGAGGTCTTCTAGTCCAACCCCCTGCTCAAGCAGGAGAACCTATATCATTTCAGACTTGTGACTTTCCAGTCTCTTCTTAAAAACTTCCAGTGATGAAACACCCACAACTTCTTATGGTAAGCTGTTCCAGTGGTCACTTTAGGAAGTTTCTCCTTAATTCCAGGTTGCTTCTCTTCTTGAGTAGTTTCCATCCATTGTTTCTTGTCTCGCCTTCTGGTGCTTTGGAAAATAAATTCACTCCCTCCTCTTTGTGGCAACCTCTCAGATACTGGAATAATGCTATCATGTCCCTCCTAGTCCTTTTTTCTAGAATAGTCAACTCCAAATCCTGCAACCATTCTTCATATTTTAGTATCCAGGCATTTAACCATGTTACTTGCTCTTCTTTGCACTTTTTTCAAAGTCTCAACATGTTTTTTATAATGTGACCAAAACTGGATGCAGTATTCCAGGTGTGGCTTTACTAAGGCTTTATAAATCAGTACTAATTCTTCACATGATGTTGATTCTATGCCTCTGTTTATACAACCAAGGATTGTATTAGCTTTTTTGGCTGCTGCTGCATACTGCTAACTCATGTTTAAGTGATTGTCCACTAGGGTTCCTGTTTTGAGCCAGGTTTCATTTAATATGTACTTGTACCTTTGGTTTGTCCTGCCTTGCTTTTCTCCACATTAAATTTTAATTAGTTGGATAGGGCCATTGTTCAAGTCTGTCAAGATCTTTTTGGATCCTGAACTTGTCTTCTGGAATGTTGGCTTTTCCTGCCAGCTTAGTGTCAGCTGCAGATTTGACAACTCTCCCTTCTATTCTATCATCTAAATCATTTATGAAGATATTGAAGAGTACTGAGCCTAAGACGGAAACTTGTGGTACCCCATTGCTTACTTTCCCACATGTAGATGTAGTATTGTTAAGGACTACTTGTTGAATATGGTTTGTCAGCAAGTTACAAATCTACCTGTCTATCCCACATTTTTCTAGTTTACCAAGAGGTATATTATGGTCTACTTTGTCAAATGCCTTGCTGAAATCTAAGTATACTATGTCCACAGCATTTTGCTGGTCTACTAATTTTGTCACTTTGTCAAAGAATGAAATAAAATTGGTTTGGCATGATCTGTTTTTAACAAACCTATGCTAACTTTTAGTTATAACTTTATTTGTTCCTAATGTTTGCAGATTTATTTTTTGGTTATCTTTTCCCGTACCTTCCCAGGTATTGGTATTAGGCTTATTGGTTGTAGTTTCCTGGGTCAGTTTTTTTTCTCTCTCCTTTTTGGAAGATGGGAACCACATCAGTTCTTTTCTCATCTTCAGGTAATTCCCTGGTGTTCCAGGAGTTTTGAAAGTTATAGTATAATGGTTCTGAGATAACATCTGCCAGTTCCTTCAGAACCATCAGGTTCCAGTGATTTATATTCACTGGAACATGATGGTATTTTTTAACCATTTTCTTGTTTATTTTAATTTTTATTTACAATATGTTTTTACAGTTAGATTTTTCATAGGTTGGGCTATAGTTTCATAACTACAGAGATTGATAAAGACTGATGCAAACAATGAGTTAAGCAGTTCTGCATTCTCTCTGCTGTTTCTTTGACTTTTTTCTTGTTATTTATACCTTGCAAGAAGCTTTTTAATTATCTTTGACTTTGGCTGCAAGACCTTGTTCAATCTGAGCCTTTGCTTTCCTGATTTCATCTTTGCAGATTTGGGCTATATG